AAAAAAAAAAAAAAACTTTATGTGTGTAGTGTATGTTCGGTGTTGTGTGGTGAACTTAAATGAATTGATTATAGTTGCGAGGCGGAAAGCTGCAGGTGGTAACAGTTCGCAAGTTCGGTACGCAGCTTTATTTTCCGGACCGTTTATTTATAAGTATGTTTGGTTTTAAGAATCAAAGAGTGGAAAGTATAGATCAGAAAATTATGCGTCTTAGTAAGGAGGATGAGAATCAGATTAGAAATTGCAAAACCAAACAAATCAATCTTCAAAGGACCATTTTCATTATTTTGTAACTGTGACAACGACTGTCTCGAGTCTCAAATTCTGAGTTTTACTTTATTTCCTACTCGTATACTACAATGCTGATACACTGAACAAAACTTCTGATTAGTGAAGATGCTATAGGCATAAAGTATGCTTTCTCGACATGTCTTTCTATTGGTTGAGGTAAAAAGAGCTTCATAATCATCGTTTTTTCAACGTAATTTTTGAAATATTTCTATTTTTACAACAGGTGATAACCTTTGGTATCTGCCATTTGACTTGGAAACATTGTTACGCTAACAAGACAGCCTTCATTAAGAAAATATACAAGTTTCAGAGATAATGTTTTGATATATTTGATTGTTAAACATTTATCTGTCGCCTCGTCTTACTTAACTTTTTTGATAGACCGCTGACAGCTAAACTAAAAAAGCAGAGATCTATTTTGGATAAATAAATGCACATAGCCCTCGTTATTTTGCAAGCAATACACAGTTCTACAGTCATGCAATTTTTTCAAATTGCAGTCAACCTTGAAAATGTCAACTTACTTCTTACAAAACGTTTTTCAAAAGCAATTTTGAGCAAAAAGCGTTTTACCATTAAACTATAAAGTAATAAAATATTGAATAAGATTTTGAAGAGGATTCGTTAATTTCAGCAGCTATCTCCGCCATATCCTCTGTCTGGATATCCATATCCAAAACCTAATCCGTAATCCATAGCAGGCATCTCGAATAAGCAGCATGAAATGTAGTATCCGTCTCCCCAACCGCCATTAAATCGTTTTACACAAGTTCTAGAATAGTACTTCTTTCATTACCGAGTCTCTCGGTTTTCTTATATACTTTAGTGTTTGGACAAATTTGGTCAGAAGCGGTAAACTGAGATTGATGTGCTAGCTTTTTCTAACTACACTCTTTGCAGATTTTAGGTGGTCTACCGAGTAACTTATGAATTTAAAAGTGGTCAATGTCATACCTTTGCTCTGTAGCACCGTTCTTCAAGTAATCAGTTTTGGCGTATATTACCGTAATTATACCGATAAAGAGCAGAGTTAACAATGAGGGCTTTGTTCTCATATTTTTTTTAAGCGAACACTTTTGAAATGGATGTTGGATGAAGATTTAGACATTGATTCCAATCATCCCGGTGCACTTTGCCAGTAATTCGCACTTAGTTTTGACGTCTTCATATTCTTTATCATGAGCAAACCAAGAAAATATTTTTAAAAGATAAATCTAAAATTTAATTTAGCAAAATTAATAATCCTATATTTAGCTATATTTACTTGAATTTGATCTTGAAATGTAGAAAAAAAATTATTTGGGAATAAAGAAGGAGCGAAGAGTGACTAATGAAGAAGACCGACTGACAGAATTGCTAAAGTCTGAACGTAAATGGTTGCAGAAATGGGCACTAGTGCGGTAAAGCAATCTAAGAATTCACGTCTGAAATAACTGTTACAGTTGCGGCTTAAATGGCTGTTACGGATGTTGTCCCATTTCCCGAAAAAGTGACCAGTGCAGTCATTGTAGACTGCAAATAACAATTTTTCATTTGAAAAAAAAAAACAGCTAAGATTATTGTTATTTTCCTTTTTTTTTGCGCTTATATAATTAGTTAATACGATTTTACTGCTTATTGATGCTAGTCAACTGCAAATGATCAGCAACTATACCATAGCATGACTTTTCACAATTACGTCGCTATTGGTATGTTTTTAACCGAAAAATCTGTAAAGAAAAGATCACAGAACAATTTTGGTACTGGTTTGAGGGAAGCTGAGGAAGGGGTATCGTAAAAAAATGCGCAGTGAAAAAGTGCCTCTAATTTTGTCAAACAAGAGAGCCCAAAAGCGTACCTACCACTGATCTTTGTTGAACATTTGTCTAGGCAAACCCTTCTTCACTAATTTTATTCTTTAAAAATATTAGAATTTTATACTGCAATAAATAAAGAGGAAATGTTCTAGAGAACGACAGGCTTTGTAACCGGCATTACCTGAATCTAACCAAATAAATCCTGTTCCATCGTTAGTAATTTTCTAATTTCCTTTCCAAAGTCGACATCAAACTTCACGAAAATTCGGTTACATTCGAACTACAAAAGGTTATGTAATACTTCAACAGTGTCTCCAAATTTTTCAAATTATTGTAATTAGTGCTTTAATTATAGTACTTTTTTTTTAGTCAAATAACATCGAATTGTGCTTTAGTTTTGAAAGGCTGCAGGGAACAACTTTTGAGCTAATTAAGTCACAAGATGCAGATCAGAAAGATGGAGTTGAGAATTATCTCGTTAATAAAGATTAGAAACAACAATCAGAAAGTAAAGATAATTTTATTTTAAGAGCTCTTGGAAGTGGGCAAAATTCTAGACAAAATATGACGGCTCTTTCTGATAAAGACGCTCCGCGCACAAACCAGTTTTCTTTAAAATCAGCATGTTACAGAAAACTTATCGTCTTTTTCTTCTATTGAAATCAACGATAAAACCAAAGCAGCTGTCTTAAAATTTATCTAGAGCTTAAAGTTACCTTTTTAAGTACAGTGAAGTTTGTTCGTTGCTGCAAAAAAAATATTTGCGCGTATTGGTAACTACAAAGAAATATCTTTTAATTTACTGGATACAGTAAGGTGATCTAAACAAAAGCCATTCTTCTCACCTAAAAATTTGATCAAGAGCATCAGACTGTTCGCCGTCTGTCTGGATTTCTTTTTTACAGCTTGATGAGAGTATGGTCTGCATTTATTAGCCTGTAATATTTTTCAGTTCAATGATGAAATTAGTGAGCAAACAGGTTAGACATAAGTATTGTATTTGGAAGGAAAAAGGTGTAATCTCTGTAATACCTGTATATTGCTTTGTTTTTTAAGCTAAGCTTGAGTACTGCTTTTAAATGAACCATGTAGAAAACAAAAGTTTCTCTATTTTTTTCAGATCTGCTGTATATCAGAAGTCAACTGTAAGAAAAGCAGCAGAGGTAATGCAATCAAATTTGTTTAAGTAAACTCTTAGTTGTTAAGATGGCTGTGCTGTGCAGTAGCTAATTATGTAGTTGGTTCTTTCTGCCAAAATGATTTTTTGGCTGGGGATGGTGCGAAGTATTGATAAGGTACGTAGTATTGTTTTTTGAATTTGAGGCAAACTGTAAATAACTGCAAATTTGCTCATCATCCACAACAAAGAAGCTAAAGTTTGACACTTTTAATGGAGTTCATTTCATCAGCGTCTAAGATAAGCAATCTATGATTAATGCTATCAAAAAACCGACCTTTAATGTCGACTTTTGTCTCTTTACAGCTGAGACTGATAACATGTTGACAAAGCAATAAAAATATTTGTCTTCCTTCCATGAACTCTATTTCACACCCAAAAGTTAAAATGCCCTGACGCCATCACTTCTGTGATGAAAGAGAATGAAACCGCATCTGCAGAACAGAACACTAAAACAATTAAGCATCCTTAAAGGTTATTTGTAAAGTTTATGTTTAATAAATTATGCCAACACTGGACTTCTGCTCATTTAGAAGATTTTGAGAGAGCGTGACTTATTGAAGATGTACATACTTAGAAAAGTAACTTACTACTTTTGGCACCTGTACAGTGACAGAAGAATATCACTTCATTACGAGTTCAGATCTTTTTTAATGTATCTAGTAAAAAAATTTAATAGCTGTTTACCGCAGCAGGTGTAAAGAAGTTGAAAGACCATGCACTGAAAGGATAGAATTGTCAGAAGATCCTTCGCTTGCACTGTCATATATCATGGTTGTATTAGATTTTAATCATTCTAATTTTTGTTGTTTAACCGTCACACCACTTCAAGCCGGTTGAAGGACAGTATATTCAAATGCAGTTGACAGTTCCAAGCCTGCCACTGTCAGTTGCCTGTCTATATGTAGCTATGTCGACCAACACCAAACGCCCAGATAACTCGTCTTCTACGTGTTTTGCTTTTATAATCATAATATTTATTTCGCTTTATAAGAAGCAATCTCGTCATCACAACATACATTACAGCGCAACAAATGAAATGTACTTGCTCAAGATTCAATACCGCAAATATCAAAGTAAGTAAAATGCCTTTAAAGCCTCAAACCATACTTCCACCTTTTGAAAGAATACAACATTTATAAAAAAAACAGGCAGTTTTAGTGAACAGCTATATAGCGCAGCCGTCAAAATAAAGAATTTGGTAAAGAAAAACAGGTAAAAAGTGCAACTAATATGTTGTTTCTTTTTTCTAAAACTGTTTACAAATGACTTAGGATTAAACTAGACTAGAATATTCAATTTTCCAGGTCAAGCTATTTACAATATCACGTAGAAATCAGCAAAAAAGTTTTGATGGGGCAGCTTATTGGGTGTAGAATGTGAATATTCGTAAACGCATGATGGAGTGTACCAAAACAGACAGTAAATCCGAAAAAAATCTAAAATTCATCTTGACACTTATATATAATCAAGATTTTTAAGAAACGCTTTCTTTTGGTACTCGCGCAATGTAATTGGCATACAAACTGCCTATGTAAAGATAATCTGAGTCATCAGAAACATGAGAAACACCTGATACTGCTACCCCAAACATATCATGTGCTGTCGATATTATTTCGCCAGATTTATCCATCTGTACAATCAGCGCATGCCTCGATCGAGCTAGGTAAGAAATGCTTTGCCAGTATCGGTCCGGCACTAGCTGAAATAAACTAGAATTGATAAAAGGTTGACGAAGGGTGAGTAACACAACATTCATTGCATATTTATATAACGAGAAGAAGAATTCGTTAAAGTATGCAGCAAGTAGTTCCATTCGAAAAAACTCAATCTTTTACATGCACCCAGCCTTCCCTAAATTCCTCTCCTTTTCTACACAATTAAAAAAGCAGAAAAATGAAAAAATATTTTAAATACAAACAGGAAACTTCGCGTATAAGCTATATGCTTCAAGTCAGTTTATTAATGTCGTGATGAGCTCCTATCATGCGTTACTAAAACGATGTGCTGGCAAACTGCTTCTATCTCTAAACTCATTTTACAGCGCAGAATTCAAGAAGTTTTTCAGGAAGACGTAAATTTGGTTAAACTCTATAAAAAGTGACCATGTTGACGACTAAACGGCTTTTTGGCTTTCGCTGCTTGCTGTCAAGACGAATGCAGTTCTGCTCACGTTTAATCTTATTTTACTGTTATCACCGTTCTCTTAATGTTTCCCCTCTTCAAAAAAGTAAGGAGAAAAAGAATGTAGCGACCAATAAAAGTTAGGTTTTTCTTTAAAGAGCTCATTACCAAATAGAGAAGTAAAACGGCACAAGCCAGAATTTTTTCGACAGTACCCTACAAAAAAACCCGTGACCGCCAAAAAATTTTACGTTAAAGTTTTGTGAAAGAAAAACTCGGTAGTGAGCGAAAGGCTAAAGAAATTCTTAAACAAAGTAAATCCGGCGTATTTCACAGTCGCAACTGGTGTAGACTGTTTTTAGCAGAATATACCTTAACTGTCAAAAAAAGAAAAAAGACAGGAAGCATTATAAACCTGAAATCCAAAATTACACATGATTGCTTTAGAAAGAAAAAATTTTTGAAATCCTTGTTCTGATGCACAAGAATTAGCAGAAAAGTTCTGACTACTAGATCTTCCCTAATCATAGACCAGATACAGCCAATAAAATACAACGTTCTCTGCCAAAGGCATCTTTAAGGTTCTACAGCTTTATATTCCGAAAGATCATAAAGAGCGACAATATAATTTGAAAAGATGTGTAAAAAGTTTAAACCTCTGAGAAATTTTAAAGCAACAATCAATTTTTGTTAAAAGTAGGATAGTTCAAAAAAAAAGAATTATTTCTATTAGTTTACAGCAATTTTTACTTGAGTATTCTAAGCACAACTGCATAAGTCTTTTAATTGTAACAAGCAGTTATGGTTTAACAAACAAATAACGATTCATTCCGAACAAATTTTGTTGTATCGGCAATCAGAGAAACTGTGATCAGAACCGCCTTGATAAAAAAGAAGATTTAATCACTCAAAACTAATTTTTAAAGGAAAAAGTTTGACCTTTAGCATCAGCTCTCTAGCTATCACTCTGTCGCCAAGAAAATCAAACAGTGAAAACTGAGTTTTGCGTCGGATAGTACCCATCCCAATCCAGAATGTCCCGTTTGTACTCAGACGAATGTTATCTGGCAGGCCCGGCAGATTATCAGCGAAAATTACCCAACTGCCTTTTTTCGGACCAGAAATCCAATACCTACAACAACTCCTTGTAAAAAAAGCAAAAATCTAAAATTATCAAAATGTGACAATGTTGACAAAAAACATAAGGGCCCTTAAAAATTGACATCTTACTATTTAGAGTCCTATCCACAAGGCCGCTATTAAAAAACAACACAAAGAGTAGCAAAAGACTTTTTAGCAATAAAGTTCAATTATACATCATTTATTTCTAGTGGTAAAAGTTGAGAGAACGGGCTAATTGCTTTTGAAAAAAGTTGAACTGGGAAAGTCTAATTAGTTTGCTTCATGGTATTACTAGAGCTCAAAAAATTGATGACTTCTCGACAAAATCTAAACCATAATTGGTGTTAAGTTATTTGTAATCATTCCAAAAATTTTTAATCGTTATGATAAACAAAGCATGCATAACATTTTTTCAACGCACTCACCTTAAAATTCTCGCCATTGTTGTTTCCGCAACTACAAATGACTGTTTGTCTTCAAATAACTGTATTCCATTTGCAAAGTAAAGGTTATCCATCAATACTTCCACCCTACCAGTTGATGGCACTAACGAAAGTACTCTAAACATTACAAACGATACAAACTCATGAAAGAAATATAAACTAAAAAGTTTTGTTATTACTGTTTTACTTCAGGGAGTAATATCTTCAATACCTAAACTTGCTAACCTTCCTGTCGGATTGTTTTCAACAATAGCTTTCATAAAATGTCGCCTAGTCCAGCGTGATGAGGAATCAGTAAATAAGATAAGATCCTCATTGACCACCTCAACATCGTTTAGAAATTTTAGTGGTTTTCCGTCTACTACAGAGCCTCCATCTAACAGTTTCCTGACCTTTCCTGAAAATAAAGTTGACTATTTCTTGCTCTGCAATCATAAAAGATTAAGAAATTTATTATAACCTATAAAGAACTCTATGGAATTCCCTTAAAAACAATATTCAGAAACTTTTACTTTTTTTAAAATTTACTGCATAAATTCCAAGATAAGCATCTGCAACAACAATTTCGTTTTCATTCAAACGCCGAATACCCAAAGGTCGACCGCAGGTTGGTTCCAGTTCGTAACTTCCTGAAACCTTGTTTCCCGCCTTAAATCTGATCATCGACAGACAAAACCCCCATTTTCCACCTGTCTGAATTAAGTTACAGATTAAATTAGTCCTACCGCATGGTCTGTTGGTAAGCCTGATGTCTCTATAAATTTGTCCATTGCGAATTTCCACTAATGTACCATCTTCTGTTCCAGTGTAGATTCTGCCTACAGTAATGAATTTCAAAAGAATATTCGTTTTTACATTAAAATCATTTATATGGAAAAAAACAAGTCAGTTGAGATTTTCTTAAAACTCCCGGCTACAATAGCTCAAAGTTGGTAAGCTTTTGAAGAAAAAATTAAAGTTGCATCATCTGTTAGCTTATCTTCCCTATTAATTGCAAAGACCTACTTGTTAAAAGTCAATTTCAGTTTACCTTTTTCAACAAGCAAACATTCTGGTCCACGAACTTTACCCTTCACCAGTTTTTCTGCTTTCGTAAGTATATCGTTTACTGTTAATGGACCTTTCCAGAATGGTCTATTAGGAAGCCTTAAAGCTATAAAAGGATAAGCAAACGAAGAAATTTTATAAATATGAATAATTTATTGGAGGTGAAAAAAAACCCAATATGTTGCAGCTGTAAAAAATTTCAGCAATACAGATCAGTTAAATCATAGAAAAAAAAAAAGTAGGTTTACCGTCTGTTCAAAAATTACTGTTTGAAAATAAAATTTTGATATTTTTTAACAATTAGCAAAGTCTTACTGATATGGATTACACTGATAAGTTGATGGAACCATAACAATAATAAAAACAGTGAGAAATATAATAGTTACAATCGTCACTATTACTTTAACCCTGAACAAATAGCACAGTTACAGATAGCACAGATTTTTAAACATTTGCTTACCATCACCAATATTCAAATTAAATTAAATGAAGATAAAGCAAACATGTTTCAAACTTTGAAATATTCACATTGAAAGGTTCAGTCAACTAAAACTTTGGTAATCAACAATGATTTAGTGTTCAAAGTATTAAAGTTGATTGTTTCAAAAATTCAATAAATAATAAATGAGCCAAAAAGAGGAAAAAAAATAAAAAGCCACAAAAAAGCATAAAAATAAAAGCAGACTAAAAGCAGTTGAAGAAACAGCCCAACTTGAATGGTATGGTTCTTGGTTCTTCCTTCTTATACATCTTCCATTCGTAACCATCTTTATCACGTCTTGAATAGGTACTAGCTTTCCGCCTTTGGCGAACTTTATGATTTTTTAAAGCTGAAGGCATTTAAGTAAAGTTATACCTAAAAATTTTTTCTCCAAGCCACTTCAGCGTAACTGCAAATAATCAAAAGTTTATACCGTTAA